TTTCACCTCCGTATCTGCAGGTAAATATTTGATCTGTGAGCTGAGCCGAGTCACACGGAGGTCCGATCAATAAGAACACATCTGGTACTTTGATCTCTCCTGATTCTGTTCTCTCAAAGCTCCTAAAGTAGAGTAGGGTGAACCTGACCTCTGACCTCCGACCTGCTCCATCAGAGTGTCAGACACAGGTTGTTCTGAGAAGGAAAAGGCCAGCAGGTGTTCTCCATGTCCCCCAGCTGGTCACAGGAGATTCTGTTTGGTCCGGATTACGTGCTGGATGACGGTAAACAGGACAGGAACTTGCATTAAACATCCCACTCATCAGCCAGACTCACACTTTGACCCTTCAGTCGATAAGCTTCCCCCTCTCTGCTTCCACCAGCAGAGTTCAGACAGACGCTGAGAGCGCGACTGGACGTTGCTGGGTCGGGTTCTGAGGTTCTGGATCATGGTGGAACCCACGTCTAAACAGGCCGCTGTTCTGCTGCTGTTTGTGCTGCACAGCTGTCTGGCCAACAATGGTACCGAGTATTGACTCTGTTATTCGGGTCCTGGTGGGATTGTCTCCAGAGATGACATCTGAATATTAATCTTTATATTGTGTCTTTTGATTATTTTATGTTTTTCCAGTTTTTCTCAACAGCCATCTGGCTTCACAGGTTCTGACCCGAAACCGCCGAGCCAATCAGCTGTGGGAGGAGATGAAACCAGGTAACTCAGCAGGTCACAGCCGGCTGGACACACACTCTCCTCATGTGAATTTGAGCGGTGTGTGTGTGTGTTGTTTCTCCTCAGGTAACCTGGAGAGGGAGTGTGTGGAGGAAATCTGTGACCATGAAGAAGCCAGAGAAGTGTTTGAGCAGAACGATAAAACGGTGCGGCTTCACTGTAACTGTCATGGCTAACCGCTCTGAGATCAGATCAATCTACAATAAACTCTTTGTTTCTGCAGGAAAAGTTCTGGGCCACATATCTGGGTACGTAAAGATCCAGCAGGGTTTTCCTCCAGCTGTAGGAAAGAAAACGGAAATAATCTACAGACAATGATGTTGTGATCAGACCATTAGCTTAGCCTCTTTTGCTTTTGGTTTAATTAGACCTAAATTAACTTGAAGTTTATCGGTTGTGGTGACATTTACTCCCAGAAGAACCAAGTTGTTACTGGACTTGGTGCTGATTTAATCCAGTTGGGTTTGTAGTTTAAATGAAGTTTATTCAGCTGATGCAGCTGCACTGCAAACAGAACCAAAGTCCAGAGCAGTTCAGCACACAGACATACAGCTGCTGTTTGTCTCCAACAGACTGTAGCGGAACTGAGATGCAAAGAACAAAAGAAAACATCAACATCATCAGGGACTGTGTGCAAGGTAACAAACCGGCTACCAGAAGGTAAAGCAGGTAGCCAGTCGTCACATGGTTGGTAACAGTTCTGCTGTGTCCAGGTGAGTGCGTCATAGGTACTGGACAAAGCTATGAAGGAGACATCAACATCACAGAATCGGGCAAAAAATGCCAATACTGGACAGGCCGGTTCCCTCATCCCATCTACAGGTATGTTTACCTCACCAGAACCTGAGGAACACAGCGGTTCCTGAGGCTGATGAAGGTTTCACCCAACGATCTCTGCTGCAAACTACTAACATGACCACGGCTGAGTTATCTACGAAACAACTTCACTACGTAAAAACATCATAGAACAACAACCAACCATCCCAATGACCATCTGACCAACCAACCACATCTTTAACAATCCAAGCAATTGATCAACCACAAGTTCATGTGTGGCACAGAACAACCAATCAATGAATCAATCAACTAACTGGCTAAGATATTAGTTCACGGCTTCCCAACTAACTGGACTACTAATTTTATAAATAATCAAACCAGCTAATCTGTAAACCATCAAACCAATCAGTTAGCCAGCTTAATGAAAGCTTGGAGTGTCTCATTAATCACCAAATCTGAGACATGATATCAACCAGCAACATCACAGAAATAACAACCCATGTTCATGAAAGCCAAAAAAAAACATAAATCTGCTACAACCCAACCAGTCAACCATTGACCAACTCTTAAGCTAACCAGAACCAGTCAAATGACCAACAACAACCAATAAGTGTGAAATTTTAGAACTAATGGACCTGAAATTCTGTGGTGACCGTTTGCCTGCAGGGAGTTTAACGCTTCAGAACCAAACAGCATCTTGAAGGAGAACTTCTGCAGGAACCCTGACAACCGTCCAGGAGGACCTTGGTGTTTCACCACAGACCCAACGGTCCAGAAAGAGACCTGCAGAGTACCTAAATGTGGTAAGAGTCCACCTGAATTTATTGAAACTCTCCCTTCATGGTCTGCTGCCTCCAGACAGCTGTTTGGATAGTTTGAGTGAACACCTGTTTCTTGTCAAGGTGAGGTCTATGTCCCGACCACTGTGGCACCAGAACCAGTCAGGACTACAGTGTGTCTACCAAGCTATGGCATTGACTACACCGGTGACCTCAGTGTCACAGCGAAAGGGCACACCTGTCTTGCGTGGTCATCACCAGAGGCTGTAGCCCTGAGCCGGGATAAGGATTTCATCCCTGAGGTGGTTCTGGAGAGAAACAAGTGCAGAAACCCAGACAACGACCCTGAGGGCCCCTGGTGCTACGTGGAGATTTCTGGGAACATCACAATCGACTACTGTGACCTGGATTTGTGCGGTACAGTACCAACCCATGATCTGTGGTTACACCAGCATACGGGTCGGCTGGCCCCTCACCTGTCGCTGCTGTTCACCTGTGTGTCTCAGAGGATCCTCTGCTTGGTGGAGATCAGATAACAGACGACAGAGGAACGGAGCGAACAGTCCTGGGCCCCGAGAAAAAACTCTTCTTCAATCCTGATACCTTTGGTCAAGGAGAAAGTGGTGAGTCATCTGATCACAGCTCTGTTATGGCCTGTACTTGTAACAAGCAACATATTACACTGTTGCTAGTTAGAGATTAAATTACATAAAGAATGTAACTAGTCAAAGCTGTTAGCTATATTTTAATAACTAAGTTGATATTTAGACATAAAATTGAACACAAAAAGATCCAGCAGCTGCTAGAAAACTGTGTTTTTTGGCTAGATCTATTGGCTGTTGGTGTCTGTTTCACTGTACCAGCTGACTGAGATACTGGCAGACTGGTGTGTTAACTGGTTTTGGACGTGTCTGTCCTTGTGTTTCAGTCTGTGGGCAGCGTCCTCTCTTTGAACAGAAGGGCAAACAGGATAAAAACGAGAACGAGCTCCTGGAGTCCTACAGAGAGCAACGGATCGTTGGGGGTGACGATGCCGAGGTTGCTTCAGCTCCATGGTAACCGCACCTACAGCTACGAGACATCATGGCTGCTCACCACAATAAAAGACAGAGCAAGAGATAACCAGAAGGATTTTGCTGTTTGCAGGCAGGTGATGCTGTACAAACGCAGCCCACAGGAGCTGCTATGTGGAGCCAGTCTGATCAGTGACCAGTGGATCCTGACTGCAGCGCACTGCATCCTCTACCCGCCTTGGAACAAGAACTACACCGACAAGGACATCCTGGTCCGACTGGGGAAACATGACAGAGCCAAGTGAGAGGTTCCCAAACACTCTTTAGAAAAACAAAACCTGACGTTAAAAATATGAAACAAATCAAACCTCAACCCTGTTAAAAGTCCTGGAAACCAAGCGGTTCAGTTGAACGGTGCCGTTCCTGCCAAGTCCCAGAGGTCCAAGCCAGAAGCAGTGGAGGTGTATGTATAGTTTTGACATGACATCCATGATGACCGGAGGTGCATCCGTCTTCGTCTCTCCAGGTTTGAACGAGGAATCGAGAAGATCGTGGCGATCGATGAAATCATCGTCCATCCCAAATACAACTGGAGGGAGAATCTGAACCGGGACATCGCTCTGCTGCACCTGAAGCGACCCATCACTTTCTCAGACCGGATCCATCCCATCTGCCTACCCAGCAAAGAGGTCGCCAGAACGTAAGATGAACACACCTGTCTGTCCAAACCTTTACATGTCAACGTTTTTGTCTTTATTGTCCAACTGGAACCAGAACCCATGTTTCCCTCACAGGCTGATGAGCGAAGGCTTCAAGGGGCGAGTGACCGGCTGGGGGAACCTGCAGGAAACCTGGAACCCTGCAGCCAGAAACCTGCCTGCAGTTCTCCAACAAATCCACCTTCCGATAGTGGAACAGGACACCTGCCGCAAGTCCACCTCAGTGAGGATCACAAACAACATGTTCTGTGCAGGTAACAAACCCAGTCGATTCCTGTTGATCAGTCAGGTCTCCACAATGACTCCATTTAGACTTGGACAACACTCTAGTTAGGAGTTCTGGTTTGGAAAGTTTAAAAATTCCTACTGAGGCACACAGAGCCCATCATAACTCTGATTCTCTGATTGATGGGCAGCAACAGTTGCTCAGGTCATTCCTGATGTCTTCCTGCCCCGAGGTTCTCCTCCTGTTGCCCCCATTTAAATACGAGGCTTTGTTTATACAGGTTATAAACCAGAAGAGAGCAAACGAGGCGACGCTTGTGAGGGTGACAGCGGAGGACCGTTTGTGATGAAGGTAAGGAAAGAGCCTGCAATGCTTCACCCAGCAGGGGGTGGCATCTTTAATAAAAGAAGTTAATGGGTAAAAGTCTTTGTGATTGACTCGGATATGAGTTTCCAGCCTAATCCAGAATCTGCCCTGTGTTCAGTACCCGGCAGAGAACCGCTGGTACCAGATCGGCATCGTGTCCTGGGGCGAGGGCTGCGACCGCGACGGGAAGTACGGCTTCTACACCCACCTGTTCAGGATGGGCCGCTGGATGAAGAAGGTGATCGAGAAGACAGGAGGAGACGACGACTAAACCCAGAACATCAGTCACTTTCTGTCAAACAACCCAATAAAAGTTTGACCACATCGCCTGATTAACTCCTCCGCTTCAGTCATTTAGCGTGGAAATGAATCATTGATGCACAAAGTTTAATCCGAACGGACGTCCAGCGGTTTTATTAAGAGGTTCTGCACAAACAGAGACATCTGAGGTTCTGCAAAGAGATCCAATAAATCTGTTTATCATCTCAGCTGAAGAGAAGTTAATCTAATAAAAAACATATAAACATATTTACATGATGGCTAAAATATATCATTTAACTGCTCTGCATCCGGTCTGGAAATAATTCTCTTTTATAAACATTCAGCTGTTCACACTGTGAACTGGGATTTAAGTAGAAAAATCAGAGATCATAACAGCTGTTCTTCAGGAGGTCAGGCCTCCTCGACAGGCTCCGCCTCCCTGTCAGTGGTCCTGTGGGTCAGCAGGTGTCGGTTCAGGTGAGTCTGTCGGGTGTAGCTCTTGGAGCAGAAGGTGCAGGGATGAGGACGAACGTTACTGTGGGACAGCAGGTGCTTCTTCAGGTCGAACCGTCTCCGAAAACACTTCCCACATTCAGGACATGAGAAGGGCTTCTCTCCTGGAGGAGAACCAGACGGACAGAACTGGGTTTACTGGACATGTTGTAGTCGGACAGAAGGGGGCAGTGTGGCTGACCGTCAATAAGTTACAGACAAATCTTGATCTGTTTTAGAAACTGTTCACATGTTTGTACTTTACACTGACATGCCTGGTGAGGCTAACTGACAAGCTAATATAAACAGTGATGCTAACTGAGAAGCTAGCAGAGCTGCTAACAGAGACACTGGTCAGAGAGGCTAACAGGGATTCATTGCTTATAAAAGTCTAAAAACTCAAATGCAGCAGTGAGATTAGCTAGTGAATAAATAAATCCTTTAGTTCTTTATATGTTCTGATCTGAATGTTTACACAGAACCTGCTTTTATTCTTGCTCCTAACTGTTGGCTAACATTCAGCTCCAGGACGCTGCTGATGGAAGGTCATGTGACCAGCTCACCTGTGTGTATGCGGCGGTGCTCAGTCAGGTGGCAGGAGATGGAGAAGGCTTTCCCACACTCCTGGCAGACATAGGGTCTCTCCCCTGTGTGGGTCCTCATGTGTTTCTGCAGGTCTCCACCAGAGGGCCACGCCTTGCCACACACCGTGCAGACGTACGGCTTCTCACCCGTGTGCTGCCTCACGTGCACGCTGAGGCCGGCGTGCGCGGTGAAGTCCTTGGGGCAGTAGGGGCAGCGGAAGGGCCGCTCCCCGCTGTGTGTCCTCAGGTGGCCCTCCAGGCCGTCACAGGTCTTGAAGCACTTGCCGCACTGCGGGCACAGGAAGCGGTTGTCGCCGCTGTGGGTGGCGCGGTGCGACTGCAGCCCCGTCACCGAGCTGTACGACTTGTCGCACTGATCGCACTGGTAGGAGCGGGAGGAGTGGCTGCGCTGGTGGATCCGAAGCTGAGTGACTCCTGCAGACGGAGGCGGGTCTAGTTTAACTCTGTCTTCCTGTTTCTGACAGTCAATCGGATCGGGTCTTACCTGAGAAGCTCTGGTCACAGAACAGGCACCTGTAGATGCACTCGGCTCCCTCGGCTGAGTGCGTCTGCAGGTGGCGCAGCAGCCGCGCCTGCGAGCTGAAGGTCTGCGTGCAGACGGAGCAGCTGAGGTCGGGCAGCCGGTGGGTCTGCTTGTGATTGGTCAGACTGGACTGGAGCTGGAAGGCGCTGTCGCACTGGTTGCACCGGTAGACGGGCCGGGTCAGGTGAGTGCGGCAGTGGGCCACCAGCTCGGTTCTGGTGGTGAAGGTGGAGCTGCACTGGAAGCAGGCGTGGGCCCGGACGGGGTGGGGCTCCCCCTCACTCCGACCCTGCTGAGCTCCAGATCCGTGTTTTCCTGACGACCCGCAGGTTCTGTTGGAGCGCAGGTGGCGGATCACCTGGGGAGCAGCTCAACGGTTAAACAGGCAGAATTATGTGTTTTCCAGGAACATTGTGCATTAAAATGACACTATAAAGTAACCAAAATATAAAATATGACTTAAAAATATTTTACTTCCTGATTTGAGCCTCTAGTCTTTCTGAAGCTATGCCTTCAGGACGCAAACCCAACATGGCTCCTATATTAACCCTTTAAAGTTTCTACCAGTGTTGCAATAAGTAACTCCCATCATGAGCTCACAGGTGTTTGCTAATTGCTGCTGGCTAGTCTGAAGGAGCTGAGTGGGGGAGGAGCTACGTTTGAAGGCGGGGCTAGGCGTTTTGCACAGCTGAATGGTTGCCATGGAGACTACAGGACTTCGCAAATATACATGAAAGACACAAAGCAACTCCGGGTATGTTGCTGATGAGCGAATAAAGCTAAAAGAGTCGATGTTCTAGCCTGAGAGCCTGCAGGTAAACACTCACCTGGGAGCGGTAGATGAAGCACTTCCCACACGCAGGACACCTGTGAGCCACACGCTGGGAATTATGGGAAATGGCTGTGAGCTGGGAGCCCTCTGATTGGCTAGATGAGTCTTTCATTCTGACAGGATCGGACAGCGTTTGGTCGCTGTCCCACCTGACCCCGCCCTCCACCACAGGTGTGACTCCCTCTGAGCTCTGATTGGATGCCTCCTGCTCCTCCTCCGACACGCTCTGAGCAATCACATCCTCCGTCATGAGCTCCACCTCCACCTTCACGTCCAGCTGCGTCGGGCCTCCGTCTGATTGGCCGGCTGGGTCAGGGTTGGAGGGGCTAGTGAGGAGGGGGTGGGACCAGGCTGACAGGAGCGTTTCCTCCGTTTCACCACAAACTAGAGGAGAGAATAAAAGGATCAGAACGGATCCAGATTCAGAAGCTCCCTCTAGTTCTGATGTCGTACCTGCGGTTGTTGCTCGACCCAGTCGGCAGCTCTGATTGGTCAGGAGCTCCGTCAGGTGTTTCCTGTCCGTCTCCTGCAGAGAGTCCTCCAGAACACAGGGGGCATCGTGGAGCCAATAGGCCGCCTGCAAGAAGACAGGACAGCGGGTCAAATGGACGAAGGTGTGAGGAAGAGGAGGAGCGGAGAGGTTCTGAGCACCTGTCTGAAGTCCGGCACTGGGAATAGCTGCTCGATCCGAGTCAGGAGGTCCGACAGCAGCGACTGGAGGGCGGAGTCAAAGCGCTGGTCAAACACTTCCTGGAAGAGGAGCAGAGGAGGCGATGAAGAGGGAAGGAGTCCCAGGAGAGCTGCAGCGAAACCACCCACCTGCAGGAGGCGCTGTGGGTCGGCAGGAGTCTGAGACAGAGAGAGGAGAGCAGAGCAGCACTCAGTCAGCTCTTCATCCTGCTGGAGGAGGAAGAGGAAGAGTCAGTCTGCTCCGTTCCAGCTGCTGTGATTTTACCTACTTAAAGTTTTTCATCTTTTTGACGAGGAATAAAAACATCTTATTTTAAAAAAGAAAAATCTGAAAAGTATGGCATGATTTCTATTCAGACCCTCTGAGTGAACTCTTTTGTACAACATATCAGCGTCAGCTCAGGACTTTGACTAGGCCAGTCTAACCTATAATATCTCTGGTTGAATGTTCTGGCATGTTCACTCTCGGCTCTTCTACTTTTGTATTGATCGACCACAAAAACATCCCAACAAAACTAATTCTAGAAAATCAGTGTGAATAATTTTACTGTGAGTTAGACTTCCTCTTTTTCTTGGTACTTTGATGAAGTTCCTGCTCAGCGAGTTGATTTAACTTCCTCTTGATAAACCTGAGTTTGCAACATTATTTCTGTGGTCTTACCGATGCTTTGGAGATGGAGTGGATCCTCTCCAGGTGAGTCTGATCATCAGAAGGGTGAGAAAGGGTCACCTGAAAGATGTTAGAGTAGGGGATGTGTTCTTCAGCACACTTTTTAACAACATTTTGTTTCCAAACAGCCGTCCCAACGCCCACCTTGGCCCTCAGAGCCAGCAGAAGAACACCTCTCTGCCTTTCTGTCAGCAGCTGCGGGACGGCCTCGGTCACCAGGGTAACAAACTCCTCCAGCATCCCATAATGCTTCACACTCTGCTGCTGGATCACCTGCCACACGGCCGCCGTCAACAGGCGGAGAGGGGGGAGGAGGAGGCGCAGAGAGGAGGCTGTGGAGGAGACGTGTCATGTTAGACACAAGGAGGCTCATTCTGTGGAAATGACCTTTTCTTCTGATCAATAAGTTGGATACAAACTTGCTGTTGTGTGGAAACAATTAATGGACTTCACAATAATGTCACTCAAATAATTATAATTATCCAGACTTGAGGATAATTGTAACTCCAGACTTTTACTGGATTGAGGCCAAGGAACTGACCCGGATCAGATCCTGGTGGAGCTGGTTTAATAAAACTGACTAATGGTTAACTAGAGTGAGACAACAGCCAGTTACAGCAGTGTAACTATCGGTGTAAGTTGCAATAGTTGACTTATCGACACGCCGATTTAAAGAGAAGCGCCAGCTGATTGGGAACCAACAGTTTTTCCGTGTTGATGGCAGATTTAAAGCGTTTCAAAACGACAACAGAGCAGAATTAGATGTTTTTTCTTTGGGCTTCAAGCTAACATTAGCACTGCTCTGCGGCACAGCTTTATAATAAAAGTGTTTAAAGTTGGTCTGTCCTGTTAAAGCAGATTAAAGTGAGTCAGGGAACTCTCACCCTTCATCCTGGAGCTCACCGACTCTTATCCTCCTCTTATATCCGCCCTGTGCAGCTCGTCTAACGGCTAACTTTTTGTTTACAATCAATCCGCCACCAGCCGCTGGCTCCGCCCACTTCCTGTCGTATCGTAACGTAGGAAATACGTTCCGGTTGCGCATGCGCCTGGAGAAAATGAAATAAAATTAATATAATAGATATATTTACTATATATTTTTTTGAATTTATGACATTTTTAGTACGTTTTTACAGTTTTTCCACTGAAATTACTTCAGAATTTAAATTACTTATTAATATTACTACTATTATAAATCATTATTATATAAATATATGCAATAAATATTATTATCATTATACATTTGTAGAATATAGATGTGAAGTTTCCAAGAGGGATATACTTTGTTTTTCTAAACAGATTTGTGTTTATTAATATGGTACAATTGAAGATCCCCCCAAAATTTTTTTATCACATAGTCATATAAAATCCCTATCAAAAGGGATAAAATTGAAAACGAAATTACAGCTGGTGTTTTGATGTTGATTTCCAGATCTGATTTCTCTGTAACTGTTTTATTTTTCATTCTTTAAGTATGTCAAACATGTAGTTTAATAGGTTCAGCGTGTGTTACATTATGATTTCTATTTTTGCAGAAAGATTAGATGTAGCAAGAGAACAAGAGGAGGAAAATGCACTGACTCAGAACCTCACCTATGACTGGAGCTGGTTTTATTACACCAGCGTTTATCAGATCGATGAAGATGATGATCAATGAGCAGCTGAAGAGCAGCAAGGTGTTTTCAGCTCATGTGACACAGATCCTGTAAGCAGGTGTAATCTCCTCCACCTCCTCCTCCAGGGCTTCTCTAAAGGGATTACTGCAGACCTGAGGTCAGAGCGCCACATTCTGCAGAAACAAACACAAAGAAAAGCAACAACCGGCAGAAGAACAGCTGAGGATGGATGTGTGGAGGCGCTGAAGGCAGCAGAACGAGTCCACCGCCTGGATGAACCTTCGTCTTACTGGCTCCTCTACGTCTGCTGCTATGCTAACCAGCTAACCTAATCTCTGCTGGGGCCTACAGTGGACTTCAACCATACTTTGGTGGTATTATTGCTGAATAATCAAACATTCAGTCCCAATAGTTGGTGCTGGTGAGGCAGATGGATCCAAACAGAGAGGAAGATGTGTTTTCAGACGCTGAGGACTCCTTCCCTCTGAAAGAAGACCAGGAAGAAGAGGATGAAGAGGAAGAGGAAGAAGAGGATGAAGAAGAAGATGCCAGGATCTTCAACGCCTGGATGCAACAGTACAGAGGAGAACATCAGAAGAAGCAGGTGCAGGAAGAGAAGGAGGAGGACGAGGAGGATGGGGAGTCAGAGGGAGGAAGACCTGAAAGCAGGTGCAGCTTTGAGCCGCCGGTCCAGATGAGGGTTGACCGCCGCTCGTCTTTGCCCTGTCCGGTAAGAAAACACAAAGTGTAGCTGGTGGTTTAACAATGGGTTCCCAATCAGGCAGATGTTTGTTCGGTTCTTCTGGATCTGGTCCAAGGTTCTTACATCCTAAGGTTCTGTTCCAGGGTCCAGAATAGCTGCTGGTTAACTTCATGGTCTCTGTGTCCTGCCAAGGTCAGCAGATGGGTTACCTAACATAACGATGGGATTAGATATGAAGTCTTATGGAAGAGTCTGGAAGTCTGGATGAGCCTGGATGTTGACAGAGAGGTTAGGGTCCAGAGTTACTGGATGACAACCTTTTATCCCTTTACTTCTTATTAGTAAGGCAATAAGTTCATCAATAACTTTAGGCATTGAATTCTATCATTAGTGATCAAAGATTTTGAAACTCTCAGTTTTCCTCAAGGTTGGCTTCAAATGACATTAAGGCAACTTAATGCTAAATGAGGATTTTAAGGGTTTTCCCTGCACTCTGGGTTATGCTAGGTCTCTGTCGACCAGTAAAACCAGTTCTTTTAACAACAACTCTTTGGGTTTTCCAGATGTTTCAGTTCATCTTCACAGGTATACGTGAAGGAACTTCATCAGATTATTCCTAGAAGCCTCATAGAAGTTCATGAAAGGGATTCCTCATGGCGATCTGGTGAAGGTAAACCACTGAAGCTGAGGCGAACCCTAAGACTGAAGGGCTGAAACATCTGGATGTCTTACTGTAATCTGACTCAACCGGAAATAAATCCCAGCTGTGTGAAATGATGGTGAAACACCGGTTAAAAAGCTGCTTTGCTCTTTGTTCAGTGATGAAAGAAAAGCATGTAGATTAGAACAAACTTAACTAAAATGGATGGGACCCAAAAGACACCTAAAATGTTTTAAAACTACTGATGATAAATATTGAACCTCCTGACTCTTTTCTTGTCCTCCTATTTGCTTTAACATGCTCCCAGTTGCAGCATCTACAGATGTGGAGGGCTTTCTTGATGTTTGTGTTCTTCCAGAACAACAACAATGATGACCAGGAGACTTAAACAGTCAGATCAGTTCACTTCACTTCATTTAGTCAGAGCTTTCAATCCTCCCAGGGTTTACAGCCTCTGATCTCCTTCGCAGTGAGAGCAGGGAAACGCTACGTTGGCTGTCAACCCTTCAGAGCTTCTTCACTGCTGTATTTAGCTCTGGGTCACTCGGCTCAGGGTGCTGCACCGCGGTTCATCTGGGTGTTAGACAGAAACATGACCTGAGAGCAGCTAATCTGGCCTTTACAGCTACTGAAACCAAACAAGACAAATAGGACTTGGTTGGATTGCTGTTTTTTTGTTTGTTTGTTGGAACTTAATTCTTAATAGATTGATCAACTGATAATAGGCTGATTGATCGATCGTCTGTGTCCAGGCCACCCTCTCGTCCATGCAGTTGTCTCGCCTTCACTCCTCCACATGTGCTCCAGTAACAGCCAGGGTTTTGCTGCGACGCTCCTCCTCCCGCCGCCTCCTTCCCCCCCCACAAGAAGCCGCCGTCCCCCCGCTGGAGCGAAGACCCTCGCTCATTCCCACCATCCCCGAAGCTGTGCCTCCTGAGAGGCGGGGCCAGTTCAGAAGACGGAACGTCATGTCACTGGTGGGTAGAAAGCAGGTTGATGTCCTCAGCTCCACACGTGATTCAGAGAGTTTATGTGAATGAAATGTGTGTGTTGCAGAGCGATGCGTACAGCATGTGTCTGATCTGTCATAATGACTTAAGCCAAGGATCAGGAGGGACCAGAGAGCTGCAGTGTACACACACCTTCCACAAAGAGGTAACACACCCACAAAGAACACACTCTCCTACTATGCTGACCTCATTTAGTCACTTGTTTTAGCCAAGTCTTCCTGGTAAAGGAGTTTCTGTTGTGTCTCCCTGCAGTGTATAGAGGAGTGGCTGTGGAGGAAACAGTCCTGTCCAACCTGCCACGTCCAGGTGTGCATACCTCAGCCTCTCTACTGGAGCTCCACCAGGGTCAAGGTCCCCTGAGGCCTCCCTGAGACTGGACTATGTCTTCAAACGGGTCCTATGACTTCATCACAAATATCCGCTACCCATCCTCTGAAAGGAGCACTTTGTTACAAGCTCAACTGTGACGACAGACTTCTTCCAGGTGAAAGTTTTTCTACTGCTACAGGTCTCTGAGAGCGATCCATGTCTGTCTCCTCATGCTCTGTTTATTGGACTGGATGAGTTTTTAACTGCAAGACCAACAAGTTCTCTACGGTTCAGCCGCCTGCCTTCATAGCACAGCAACACCACTGGGCCCCATCGCCCTGATTTTACACCAGAAATCCTTGTCAAGTGTTATCACTGGTTTTTAAAAAGTTTTACAGTGGAGAACCTTACAGATCATTCAATGAATCACACCTTTTATGAGTTGATGGTCAAACCAGCTTCTTCCAGTGATTCCCATTGGCCCAGACTGGACGGTTCTTCTTCAGTTGAAAATCTACTAAGGACTAAAAACATTTAAAACCTTCTGGAAACAGGTTACATTTCCCTGACCATGTATTTAAAGGACTTTTTTCTTTATTGAGACAATATATTTATTTACCAATTAATTTTGTACACTGTTTTCTTCTGCATTGGCTAGATTTGCTTGTCTGTTCAGCATTTTGAGCTTGTTTTTAAATGTTCTCAAAGGCTTGATAAATAAGAAAATATTTTTATGAAATAAAACTGCAGCTATGGTTGGAAAACACTAGTGAATAATGTTGAAGCTGAATTACAACAGCTGTAACCTCATTGTAATGTTTTGTTTTGTTTTATTTTTTACAGCTTTGTCAATGTTATAATGTTTCTTTGTTTGTTTGTTTTTTGACTGATTACACATAAACATGGGTGCCGGCTGCATTTTGCTTTAACATTGTATAAAAACATCCAAGGATGTAAAGTGGTACTTTTGCTTTAATAAAGAAATAGCTATTTTAGTTTTATTTGAAGAAATTGTCTTATTTAGGTAAAAACAACAACATTTTCCTCATATAAATATTCGGGGTGAAACAGCGCCTCCCTCTGACGCGTTGTGGCCAGAGGCGGTACTGCAGGCGGAAGTGCTGCACCTGTTGAGGTAAAAGTCTGTTCCCCCTGCCGGAAACTTTGACGGCTCACCTGGTCTACCTGGACCCACCGACCCGCGGACTGCTGGGAAGGTTCTGGACGTTCTGCGGCGGTTCTGGAAGGAGACCGGCTTAATGGATAAACTGAAGCAGGTTCTGGGCGGACAGGACGGCGGCGGCAGCTCGGATGGGAGCGGCATACTGGAGGTGCTGTTAGCCGCTTACTGGGAGGAAACCAGTTAAAAACCACAGAGAAACAGGCTTCAAGCTAAAACTGGAGTTAGAACTAGACTCAGATGTTAAATCCTAGTTTTACATTATAATCGGAGGAAAAGGTTTATTGTTTACTCCGATATAACCTTTATAAACCCGTTTATGACGATGCTGCAGGGCTACATTTAATTTAGCTGTTTTTCACAGGATATCTAAGAGTTCTTTGTCAATAAGACCTCATAACATAATTCGGTATATGTAATAACAAAAGCAATATCAGAATGTTAAATTAAAAGGAGTTGTATCATCAGAAACCGCTGCTGTTATCGTTCTGAGGTAAGATGAGCTTCTGGTGCCATATAAAGAAGAAAACAACAAATATTTTAATATGTATATATATATATATATATATATTGTGTAGCTAATGTTTTAATGCATACAAGATATGTATAATACATTATACAAATGAACATAGAAGATATATTACAACCATCCGTCCGTCCATTTTCTTTACACCCTTGTCCCTTAGTGGGGTCTGGAGGTTCTGGTGCCTCTCCAGCTGACGTTCAGGGTCACCCTGGACAGGTCGCCAGTCTGTCACAGGGCAACACAGAGACACACAGGACAAACAACCATGCACACACACTCACACCTAGGGACAATCTGGAGAGGCCAATTAACCTGACAGTCATGTTTTTGGACGATGGGAGGAACCCAGAGAGAACCCACCATGCACAGGGAGAACATGCAAACTCCATGCAGAAAGACCAGGGCTGGGAATTGAACCCAGAACCTTCTTGCTGCAAAGCAACAGCTCTACCAACTGCGCCATATTACAACCAGTAACATATAAAAGAAAACAAATTTCTGTATTTTTTATTTTTTTTTTTTACATTTTACTGGTCAAATATGAAAATACATAAGCTAAGAATTCATTAAATCTGGGTTTTAGTTTCATAAAATTACAGCTGTACAGATTAAATTTTTCCAATATTACTATTAGGTTTATGACAAAGACTTTGGGTCTATATTTGGTCAATATCTAAATATTTTACTATTAACACTGTAAAATATGTGCACAATGTTTGTTTTAATAAGTTTTTAATGATAAATGACATCACGCCTGCAGACAGCCAATCAGGCGTCCACTCTGGCCTGGGGGACCCGGATGAAGGGCTTCCTCATCTGCTTCATACTGGGGGCCGTCTGCTCCATACTGGTGAGTAAATATTATCCCTTTATAACCATTAACAGATTTAATATTCCAGTGAGCCGAGTTCTCTGTCCCTGATGGAGGACATGTTGTGTGTCCAACAGGCCACCTGCCTGCTGTGGATCCCAGGGTTTGGACTTCCTGTGTTCGCTGTCCTCTACACCGTAGGAAACCTCTGCGCTCTGGCCAGGTACCAACCAGAACCAACCAGAACTGAGCAGAACCTTTAGATTCTGATGGAAACAGAACCTGACCTGGAGCTGTGCAGATGGAACTGGGTGTAGTTCTCATGTGAACTTTGTAAATGGTAGCCATTTTGGTATGCAGTTGCTAAGACAACAATAAACCAGTCACAAGCTCAGAACTAGCTTTCACCTCGTTCCTATCTAACTTAGGAACAATATAAGTACATTCTAACTATTACTCTATTATGATTTTAGATTTTTTATTGTTGCTGTAGCAACTCCTTAGCAACTGCCTGCCAAGATGGCTGCTAGTTCTGTGTGTTGCTGTAATGTCGCCCCCTTGTGGTGAAACTGTTCCCATTGGCTGTCGTTTCAGCACCATGTTCCTGATTGGTCCGTTACGGCAGCTGAAGAACATGTGTGCTAAGGTCCGAGCCCTGGCCACCGCCATCATGCTGGTCAGAACCAATCTTTGGCTCGTTTTAACGGTTCCAGGTTCTGGTTCCGGTTCTGACTCTGATGTTTGTGTCTGCAGGCCTGCCTGGTTCTGACTCTGTGCGCTGCGTTCTGGGTGAGCATCGGACTCTGTGTGAAAACATCCTGGTTCTGTTGTTAGTTATTAGAACTCTGTGGTTCTGGTTCTGGTTCTGGTTCTGCAGTGGAAGAACAACGGCTTGGCGCTGCTGTTCTGCGTGCTGCAGTTTCTGGCCTTCACCTGGTAAAACACACACACACACACACACACACACACACACACACACACACACACACACACACAGGTTCCTGCCTCACCTGTCTGACCTCTGCTGTCTGTGCTGCAGGTACGGCCTGTCTTACATCCCATTCGCCAGGTAAGCTCACACCTGAGGCCTCAGGCTCTGCCCACCTTGACCCATCTGAACCAGCTAACCAGGTCTCACCTGCTGTCTTTCAGAGACGCCGTCACCAAGCTGTTCTCCATCTGCATGTAGATCCACCAATCAGGACGCAGGATGCCGGGGTGTGTATCCAATCAGGAATCAGGGTTTTTATTTATTAATAAGCACATTTTATTTAATTTTCCATTTTAACATCAAATAAAGCACCTTTTGTTTCCACATTTCACATTCAGGCTTTTAGAAATTAAACACTACAGGACAACCAAGCACCGTTTGAGTAAAAATATGAATAAAAAAATAAAAAATATTTAAAACTACGGTGGAGTTTTAGGGCCAGACTAAGAGAATTTTATTAATGTCAAGAATATCAGAATAAAAATGTAATGTTAACAGAAGTCACAAAATTACAAGAAAAATCTTTTTTAATAAAAAAAGACATTATTCTTGTACTATTATGACTTTATTCTCATGCTATTATGATGTTACTCTCATATTGTTGCAACTTCACTCTCATAATTTCGATAAACTAAATTCTTTTAGTCTGACCCTAATTCTACATTGTAAAAAGTAAATGAACAGGGTACAATATTAAAGCATTTTGGTCACATTTCTGGTGTTGCAGTTTTTTATCAGGAGCTTCTGACCTTTGTTACAATTAAATATTTTGACATTTGATTAGAACCTGATTGATTCATGAAGAAAAACACATAAATCTGATGAAAACCTTTTGGTATCCGTCTGCTTTCAGTCACCTAACCAATGAAGCTTCAGCTGTTTTATAATATTTAATTATCTGATCAGAAAACATTTCAGATTTGCTGAATTATTTAGAGTTTGTATTATAATCATAACTTCAGTGTCTGAATGTGAGCCTGTTATTATTAATGTGTTACGGTAACAAATTCAGTTGGTCCTGAATGGGTCAAACCTGCCCAAATTTCTAAGGACAGTTCACAAAGGTTTCTATTTTTGGAACAACATAAAGGTCAGAAAAGTGAAATAAATAAAAAACAAAAGCATAAAAAAATGATAGAAATAAGAAAAGGTGAAGAAAATGGAAATATGAAGAGAATTTTATTGAATTGATAATATTTGTATCATTTTAATTTATTTATTTCTGATTTGTCTTGATTTTTATTGGTCCTGTTATTGTTCCATATAAGCAGGTTTCTATTGGGTCAAGCTGTTATTATAATTATTAATACTGAATTTAGTGTGAAGGCATGAAACATTTCATTATTATTATTATTTTTATTATTATTATTATTATTATTATTATTATTATTATTATTATGCAGCTGCAGAGGAGCTGATTCTTTGTGGTTTCTGACCTGGTTGCTAATTTTGCCTGAGAACAAATCCACTAATGTTCCTTCGTTCCTGTTGGAGTTTTAACTATTATAGGATGCATTTCATCTGAATTATTTTATTAATTGATTCCTTTATGTAAATGATTGTAAATATTTCCTGCTTTAACAACATTTAATTGATTTTTCTTAACATTTCATTGAAATATTTCCATAAATTATTTAAATTGGAGCATTTCACTGAGAGCTCCTCCTTCCTGTAAGCGTTAGCTTGACTTCTATCAAAAACAGCTAGCGCCCCCTTCAGTCCCGGTGAGGAACTGAAAGGTGATTTTATTTTCATGAAAACATTATTTGTGAACCTTCTGGTTTTGGGTCCAGATGGTTTCTCCAGAACCATTTCACCTGTTTTTTTGTTGGTTTTTTTTGTATTTCCTGTTGGATCTGAATAAATGTATTTTTGAGCCAAAGTGTGTGAGACAGTCATGTTTTCTACCTGAGCTTTGTGTTTACCTGGCTGCCTGCTTCCAGTCGTCTTTATGCCTGCTAAGTCCTTAAAGCCAGTAATCTCCACCCTCCACCTCCGCCCGCTGATTAAAGCCCGACCGCAGATCAGATGTCCACTGTGTGCGCTTCCAGATGTTCTCCACTTGGATTTGACCTATTCTCCATTACATGCTGCTCTAAACAGCTTATGGTGTTTTTCTTCTTCGCTGCTGGGTGACATTTAAACCCGGAGAAGGGAGAAGATCCAGAGACGACTGAAGCTTCATCAAGGTTTCAGTTGATTAATCCAGATTTTGTCTCTTCAGGTCAGATCTTTATAGTACCGGAACATCTATCTGATCTGGAGATCTTTGGTTCACGTGATTCTGAACCGATATCTAGTGGAAGAACGAGGTTCCAGTTGTGCGGCATGGCGTACCGGACTCTTTAGCACCAACCGTGACGTCACCCAATGCTCCATTTTCTGGCCTTTGCTTTCTTGCTTTCTCCCTTTGACTTGGATTGTCTCCGGTTTATTTATTTATTTTTTGACTGGACCAATCAGTGAACAGAAGAAGAAGTTCTGATTTTCTTCCTTTTAGAATCAGTCTGCCTGTGGTTTTGACAATGGTGGTGGAGTTAGTGAAGGAAGCTGTTCAGTCCATTTTGGCCACAACTCCAGATATTGAATTAACATTAACAGCCGTCTTGTTTGGATCGGATCAGATGGTCGTTTATAGCGTAGGTAATTTCCGGTAAACTTCTGCTGCATTACATATGTCAGGCCATATGTTAAAAGACTGGGTAAAATTTAAAACTCCAGGAATCAATCGTTTCTAAACAGACATAGGACAGGTTCTGGTTCTTAACGGGCTAAATGGGCCTGTCAAACTGACAAAGGGAGTAACAAAGGTATCCGCCATCTTGCTACTCTGTTGGTGACACGTTTGGTTCCTAAAACGGATGGAAAAAGGTGTCAGCCACGCTTTCTGGTACCAGAACCTCTCAGGTCAGTTCTGGTACCAGTGACCCGTCCTCTTATTTTAATGCAGGAGGGTAGAGAAGGTCCATCTGACTCAAACCAGGCTGGTTGAGGCTTCACACCGTTTGGGTCAACGATCCAATGTCCAGCTGTTGAGAAGGTTCTTCAGATCCTCCGTAGACGATCTCAGAGGTTCTAGTTGCGACACCATCGATGGTTCTGCTGCCTTTGGTTCCCTTCTGGTTTGGGTCGAGTTAGTCGAGATCCTGGAGGCTCAAAGAGCACAAAACAGTCCAAATGTTTGGACTTTTATAACGTCTAGAACTTTTTCCATCAGAGTCTAAGAGGAGATTGAAGAGTTCAGGTCAAAATTGTTCAGATTTTCTTCAACATTTAAGTTACGGATCAATCTGTGCCTGACTTGTGGTTCTGAGAGTTTGGACCGCAGTTCTTCAGAACCATCTCAACCTACTGAAGGTGGACAGGTTCTGGTTTTGTCTCAGAAATACGAACAGAGTTCGGACTTCTTTAACGGCTGAAACTAGATTATAGGTTATAGATTCTGGTTTTCATTCCTGGTCCAGTTTCATATCTTCACTTTTTCCAAATCAAACATTTTTTCATCTAAATGTGAATTTATGTTTTAATTGTTGCTGTTCTGGTTCTGGTTCTGCAGGCGGTTCTGAGTGTTTGGGCCGTTCAGGGCAGTGAGAGCTGAGCGGTGTGTGTGTGTGTGTGTGTGTGTTGAAGTGAGGCGGTGTGTGTTGGGTGGAGCGAGCAGACCCGTGTGCAGCCGGCTCTGGTCAGACCTTCATCGGTACTTTGTTGTGTTCAACACTTTGGATCAGAACCTCTCAGGTCAGTTTCATCTATTATTTCTGTCTGTTCTAGTTCTGGGATGAAAATGTGTTTTTATTAATTTCATGAGGATAAATATGCAAATTAAAAAAGTTAAAAAGAATTTTCTTCCTTAGTTTTACACATTTGAATGTTTTTAAATTCATTAAATTAATTAAAATAAAACATTTTAATTAATTTAACATCTTTACTGAAAGAAACATTAGATGTTTTTCACCAAATGAAAACTGAAATTATCTCTTTATTCTGGAGTTTTTGCTGTAAATTTATATAAAATAAACATTTTAATGACATGTTTGTCACAGTTTTTCCTTTAAAATCAGATTTTTTGTTTTGTTTTCTACATTTAGTTTAATAACAGAGCAGCTGCAGCGACGCAACGCTGCCGTGAAAACACTCCAGTCAGACGCATTTAATGAGCTTTCTGCTCGTTAATTAAACACAGAATCTGCCTTATGAAGGAAAATATGATTTAAAGGAATTAATGAGCTTTTTTCCCAGATTTTATTTAAATCAGCAAAAATGAAGTAAAATCCGTAAAATGTGTTGAATTTAATTTCTTGAACATATTTTACATTTACATAATTTAAATATTTTAATATATATATATATATATACTCCATTAAATTTTTTAGTTACATTTGTTTTTATTGTTTAGACATTTTTACATTATTTTGATCATTTTTGTGTTGTAGACTTTGTTTTATTTCATTCAGACAAAACTGATAATAAAAGTTATGTTGTGTTATAATTAATTTTCTGGGTATTACTATTTGAAATAATTTTAATAAATTTAAATTCTTGTCTAAATTAGAAGCTTTTGTCCACATTTAAAAAACACAAATTAAAATATAAATATCAAAGTAAAGTTTCTTATTAAACCAGTGTTATTTCGTAATTATCTTAAAACATAATGTAATTAGGTGATGAAGCAGAAAATAAGATTTTTTTGCTCACAATAAAATGTATTTCTGGAACCACATATTTATTTTAATTAATGAAACCTAAACAAACTCCTGAGTTTAGTTAAGATGAATGAAAATGTTTTTATGTTAGTTTTTATAAAACTCTGGGAAAATATTTAAGATTCATTCAAAATGTGGAAATAAATTAAATTCAGATCAACTTCAGATTTGTTCAGTTTCTATGACTGAAGCAGCAAATTTTAAAATCAGAATTTAAATGTTTTTATTTAAGTATCTTTTTGGTTTCAGGTCAAAAATTTTAATTTTCAAAAATGCTATTTTTCATTAATTCAGTTAAATAAACTGAAACCTCTGAGCTGTTTAATTTTTATGCTGTCTGCGCTTCACCTTCAGCTCATTATTATTAATACTCAGATAAAAGTCAGAGTTTGAACCAGAACCGGTCTAGATTTCTGCACCAATCCGGAACCAACAGGAATAATTTAACAGCTGTCAGGTTTTTACCTGAACTGATTTCCTCCAGTTTCACTTTTTACATGTTTCAGATCATCAAACTGATGTTAAATCAGAGAGAAAAAAAACTGGAAAAAATATTTATTAGGAGGAAAAAAATCAGCCTGATGAAAATGTTCTGTGGACTGATGAGATCTGTTGGACCTGCTGCAGAACCAACACATCATTTCAGAAGTAGAACATCAGGGCTACAGGCAGGCATGGTGGTGGCAGTGTCATGCTGTGGGCTGCTTTGCTGCTTAAGACCTGGTCACTAAGGAGGTCCAGGTCTGAAGAACAGTTGGGTACTGCAGGAGAACGGTGACCCAAAGCACAGAAACAAGGCCACTTCTGCATCTTAGAGTGGCCTAGTCAAAGTCTGGTTTTAAAGGGGAACTACTATGTATTTAGTAGTTCTTTTTCTAGTACAGTCAAGTAACTAAGTTACCTTCAATTGACATAAAAACTTTATATTTATTAAATATGACTTTGAAGAAATTTGATTGTGTAATTTAGCGCTTTGAAAGTGGGCCTCTGTCTCTTTAAGAACCCTGCTCTTCCTGAAGCTCCGCCTTCAGGAAGTCATCACAACTATTAAAGCTTTTACCAGCGTTGCTCTAAGCAGCAGCTCCTACAATGAGCTCCAGCTGTTTGCTAATTGCTGCTGGCTAGTCTGAAGGAGTGGGGAGGAGCTGCGCCTCAAAGGCGGGGCTAGGTCCACCCAGACGTTTTTAACTGCCGAATGGTTGCCATGGAGATTAAATGATTTCTCAATACAGGGAATAACATTATAACATGCTGAGAAATAAAAAAAAGTAACATTTTACGTGATGCTGCCACTTTAAGACCCTGAATTCAGTCGATTGAGAGAAGGGGGTCGAAGTTCCTCCGCTGTGAGTTAAAAAGTCGTTACCAGGAATCATGAACAGCTGATTTGATTAACAACCTGTTATTAGGCAGAGGGTTGATTACTTTTGGCTTTAGGGTGTCACTCTGTGGACTTTCACCTTTAAGACTCTTAATTGGACGGTAAATGTTGGAGGTAGAACTGCTAATTGATCTTTTCGTCCAAGACATTAAGACATTAAAGCACAAATGGCTGAGTATCTCTTCACAGACCATTTTGTTTGGCTGCTGGACGTATGCAGACCTGCTGAGCAATTACAGTGCTGCTATTATCCTCCAGGGTATTCGGCTTCTGTGGCTTTTATTTTACAGACGTCTCAGTAATTTCTGATCGGTTAGGAGCTTCAATAACCTGCAGCCATCAGCCTGTGATTAGACATCAGTAGAAAAATAATGACTGAAGTTTTGTGAGTTTATAAATAGAACCAACAGCAAATTAAAATGTTCTCAGTACCTGAATATCTTTATTTTCAGACCTGTTTTATGAAATTATAATTTAGTAACTCAGTGTTTGGGTCTGCAGATGAAGGTGGAGGGCTTACAGGAGGATGGAGAGTCCGGTTCGGTGTCTTCAGTAGGCCGTGGCTCTGTGGGGTCGGCGTGCGCCATCGCGTCCGCCGAGCGCTGCATGTCCCGGCTGCTGAGCGCCGTGGAGAGCGAGCTGCAGGCCGGCCGGGAGAAGGGCGACCCGACGGAGAGGGAGCTGAAGGTGACGCTGGAGGACGCCGAGCTGTGGAGGAAGTTCCAGCTCATCACCAACGAGATGATCGTCACCAAGAACGGACGGTAACTCTAGGACTCTGGTAGAGGAGTCCTGACT